GGGCGCACTCGGCATGCACTCGCACCGCACTCGTTCTGCCCTCGGGCCGCACTCGCACCGCACTCGCAACGCACTCGATGCCGCACTCGAATTGCACTCGAGTTGCACTCGCGCTGCACTCGCACCGCACTCGTTTCATTTTTATAGGGGTGTTCACGTTCTAGGTCGCCAAAAGTCCGCCGTTGGTCCGCCGAGTACTCGGTGCTCCCGGGTGCAGCAGCTCGGCGTTAAACACCTAAGAAGGCGCTACAGTGGCTGGCGGACACACTGCCCAGGGTGCAGATGAGGTTCAGGTCGACGATCACCGCTCCTACGTGACGCACGCTCGTACACACCTGGGCGACTGGCACACTTGGACTGATGCAGAGTGCAGTGCAGACCGTCCGGGCCGGGGCCGGGTCGGGGTCCAAGGGGGCCGTCCCCCAACCCTATCCGGGGCAGCCCCATCCTTGACCCTCCCGCCTCGGCTTGCGATTGCGCCGCCCGGAAAACCCCGGAAAGGAAAATAAAAACAAAACAAACCCCGAGGGGGCCACCCCGATCGATTTAGAATGTACACGCGTCTCTCCGAGCAAAAGCCAGGCGATCAACATGAACTAGTCTAAAATAGTTTCCAAGATAGTTTCAACAAAACGCTGCGTTTGGTGCCCCGCTAGTGGATTGAAAGGGCTTAAAAGTCGACCTACACTAATTCAATTCGCCCCCCCCCCAAAAAAGGAATCAAGGAAAAATACTCGAGTATTCCTTTCTTCCAGTCTGGTCAGTGGTGCCCGCTGTGCTGCATTACCATCTACGCGGGTTACAGCGACAGAGGCAGCACTCTCTGTCCCTCTGTCTGTCTGTCCGTCTGTCTGTCTGTCTGTCTGTCTGTCTCTCTCTCTCTCTCTCTCTCTCTCTCTCTCTCTCTCTCTCTCCCTCTCTCTCTCTCGTTGTAATTCGCACAAACAAATGTAATCCAGTGTAACGTGACAACGGCACTCCACCACACCCGGGGGATGAGCACGGTGGTGGTGCCGGGCACAGAGGAGGAGAGAGAGGCTGGGGAGACCGAGGGGAGAGCGAGGGGAGAGCGAGGGGAGAGCGCGTATGCACCACGCTGTTTCTGCCTCCACCACCGCAGCGAGGAACACACCAGCTGTCTCCGCGATTAAAAACAACCCCGCTGGAAAATAAGGGCAGATTATTTCACTGCAGTGGGGGGCACAGAGAGAGAGAGAGAGAGAGAGAGAGAGAGAGAGAGAGAGAGAGAGAGAGAGAGAGAGAGAGAGAGAGAGAGAGGGGACGGGGGGAGAGAAGAGGAGG